AACCAGTTTGTCTGACGTGTTAAGTGCTAGGTAAACCTATACTGTGTAAATGAATAGCTGTGTTATCATTTACTGCCCTGTGATGAGTTGTTACTACAATCTGAAACAAATGGGACTTTTCTGGTAATTTACAAAACCACATTTGTGGCATGGCCGTCTTCTAACCCAACAGTATATCCACTGTGGTCCTTTATTCCAACTCCATTTTCCTTCCTACCTGTTCTTCTATCTTCTCATTTCTCTCCATCCTGGTACAGTCACCAGCCTCCACTAAGTGTTCTCTCATATTACAGTAGGCAAACAAAGGAGGAGGCCAAGAAAAGATATATAAATAGTACTACATCATTACTGGCTTTTTGTCTTCACAGGATACAAACTGGCGTTTAATTACCTAAAAGCCAAAAGATTTGTGGATGCTATTGACGTATGTCACCAGGTAACACTCAAATTTAGATTTCTTAATATTTTTCAGATGCACAGTCTCCTAATTTTAATCTCAAGATGTACATGAATGGAGAGGATGTAGTATTTTGGTTAAGTGACTTACCAAATACATCTGGGTGAAATATCTGTTTTCAAAGTTTAAAAAAAAAGTTTGCCTCAGTTAAGTAAAACATGTTTAAAAAAGACATGTTTTTAATTAGGGGACTCAAATAATAAAATATTTGTCAATTTAAAGAAAGGCTCAGGGAGAAGCATGGTAAATAAAACATAGTTGTTAAGTCGGAAGATGTTTGAAGATTGTTAGATTCTCCAAGTCGTTCAGGATAGAAGTTCTTACAATCATGTCTAAGTCTGGTCACGAGAGAATTCAGATTTATAAATTAAAGATGAGGTATTTTTGTCATTTAGAAATGATTCAATTTCATTTCTATAATTGATTCCTGACAAAATGGCCCCTTGCTAAAATGACAAATATTTAAGTTATGGTTTTAAAATTTGCAGTTTCTTTATATATACATTGTCCTATTGATATTCCGTGTAAGGCATTTTACTAAACTATTGGGCGCTCCAAGAAAAGCTCCTTAGGAAGGAATTACGTAGTGGCCCTTATCATGGGTGGCTGTGTCAGCATCATTATAGTAAATACTGGGCCTCAGTGATAGCTATTGATTACCAAGTCTGTAAGGCAGCATTTCACATTAAGGTTAAGGGTGTACATTAATGTAAGGTTATACATTAGAATCATTTGTGGAGTTTGTTTTTTTTTAATGAATATCTCCTTCTAGACTCAGCAGACCTAGAAATTTGTATGTTTCAAAATCATTCCAGGTAAATCTAATGTGTGCTCCTAGGTAAAAATACCTCTCTAAGGGTTTATTGAATATCATGCATAGCTAAATTTTAAAAAGTGTGTTAAATCTACTAACATGTAACTTTTCGGTAAGGAAATAATTACATATCTATTTTCCACATACAGTATTCAGATTCTACCATTTTCATCTAATCATTGTTACTAGAAATAAGACATCACTTTAGATGTCACCTTTAAAAAATGTTGTTGTATTTGTAGTTAATATAATGAAATCTCAACTGTAACGCCACTTTGGCTAAGTTTTGCAGCTCCCCAGTTCTTGATAACTAAAAGTTCTAGTGCTCCTGTTTTATTTTGGTTTTCATGTGTGTGTTTTTGCAGGTTCTTGAAGCACATCCAAGTTATCCAAAAATCAGGAAGGATATACTTGATAAGGCCCGTACATCTTTAAGACCTTGAAAATTATTTTAACTCAGTTTGTTGTTGAAGCAAGGAATCTGAGTTCTTGCAGTTCAAAATAGGCTTGAGCTAATACTCTGCAATGGGAGCATACTTTCCTTTCTCCAGCAGAGGCCGCTGGTGTGTATAAAGAGGAAGTGCTACGTTAGATGGATGTCTTCTGATGGAGGTGAATGAGAGCTGGTTTCTTTGATTGACTCAGTTAGGTACAGATTTGGTACCTTTGTGCTGAAGCTTATCACCCAATTTCTATAAAGAATATCTTGTTGAAATCTAGGTAATTAAGTATACTGTATGTTTTCTAAAGAATATTAGTTGTTTCTTTCAGGAAATATTTAAAATAGTATTGTTCTGTTAAAAAAATTTTGTAACATTCTCTATTACTTCAAAGGTTTGAGTAAATTTCCTTGTAAATACTTAAGAAAAAGAAAATATATTTTTAATAAAGATTTTATAAATTTATGATTTATAGTCCTCTTGGAACTCAAAAGGCCTGGTAAGTTTTGCAAACTCAAGGTAAGCTCCCCGGGCAGTCTGCAGTGCTAATGAGTAGAAAATGTGACTTTCCTAGAAAAATCCTTTTGGAAAAGTATAGAGTGTATGTTAGTTTCCCTTCTCTTTGTTGAACTGATTGTTACTGCTCTCAGTGCCAATGTGAATCTTAATAACCAGTACCTGAAATTGGTTTAAATAGGTAAACCTTTATAGCAATATTTAACCTTAGCCCAAAGATTAGGTCTTCTGGTGTAACTTTAGACACTGTAACATCTGGTGGCGAATAGTTTTGATCAGCAGGGACTCACAAAGCACACCATGTGAAAGCAACTGCTGACCCCTTTACAGCTCTACCACCACCCTAGGAGAGCATTCTCACCCCTTTATACTGAATTTAACCTGATCTTCATAAACTCAGTTCTTAGCATTATTTCCAATATGTTGTCTACATCATTTTTAGTTGCCTTTAAAAACACAGTAAACACAGTCTTCAATTTTAATTACATTTTCAATAAACACAGTATTGTATGAAGAAGTATAAAGTCACTTTTCCAGGGGGGTATAGCTCAGTGGAAGAGTGTATGCTTAGCACACACAAGGTCCTGGGTTCAATCCCCAGTACCGCCACTAAAGAAATGAGTAAATAAACCTAATTACCTCACCGCCCCCCGCCAAAAGTCACTTTTCCTTAAATACCTTGTATGTTTATTTCATTTGAACTACATTCTCTTGTTTTGATCACTTCTCCAATTTTTCAAAATCCTTTTAAAATTCTGACTGTTGTAAAATTCTAATCAGTCTTATTTACGGCATTTCATGAAACTGTTTAATTAGAGCCTTTATGAAGCATTTTGTGTCTGTTAAAACACTTTCACATGTCTTACTACATTTTATCCTCAGAATCCTCAAACATCCCTGTTTTACAGTTCTGGCGCTGTGACAGATTCTTTCTCAGTAATTCAGGGGAAAAAAGTCTCTCTCAGCCTGAATGGACCATCATTGAGGACATACTATATCAGAATAACCTTAGTAATTCCAGGGAATCTGTATCATGGAATGTGAGAATCATGGAAATTCAACAGAAAAGTAGAACATCTGCTCTCCCAGTGGGACATCTCCACATAAGTTTCCCTCTCTGTGAAGTGAGGGGTGTGTGCATTTCTTAAGCAGCCACTTAGTCTGCCATTTATTAGATACTCTTCTAGGAACTTTCCTTAAATTGTCTTTGAATTGTCACTCAACTCTCCAGAGAAAGATTTTTCAGATAACAAGATGAGGCTCAAACTATATGATTTTGTCCAAGGTCACAGAAAAATTGTCTGTCAGAACCTGGATTCCACGGCAGCCTTTCCCACGTTAAGATGCCTTCCATAACCAAGAGACGGTGTCTATAAGAAAAGTCACCTGCTCCGCGTCTGGCTAGCAGATGAAACGGTGTTCTGTTACAGAGATGGCTAGGTGATGAGGAACAAGGCGAACGGAGTGGAGTGAGCAGTTCTTACAGACGTGCAAACTACCAAAGAGAAGCATAAGTGAGGAGCGGTGAAGTGTCGCAGTTAAGAGTGTGGATTTGAAGTCACACCAGCCTAGCTTTAAGGTGTGGCTTTATTTACTACCTACTAGATCTTTACTCTTTCTCAAGTTACGCAGGCTGAGGATAATAACCTTCCTCAGGTGGTTAAGAATTAAATGAGAGAACATACATAAAACCTATAAGAAATCTGACTCACTTGGGCTCTTAAAAATGAGTAGCTCTACTTATTATAAGCCAAACAAGGTCAAGTAGTAATTGCAACTGAGAACCTTCACAGAAGAAAAGAGATAGTGCAGATGAAGCTGAGATGCAGAGGACCAGTAAGTTCCCCCAGAAGCACAGCTGTACAGGAGTCAGGATTCCCACTGTCACCCTCCCTCGCCCCAGCAGACATTAAGCTGCTTTCTTTACATGCATAAATCTCATTTCACCCATCTCCAACAGACTTTCGCCCTACGCCCTCTACTGGAATTCTCTCCCCATGCTCCTCTCCCTTATCCCAGCTTCCTGGCTCACAAGCTTCCCTCTCTAGGCTTATTCTTTCTTTCATCAGTTTATCGTCACCTCCTGAGAGGCTATGTCCATGTCAAGCCATCATGCCAGTCTGTGCCATATCACCCTTTTAAAACTATTTAGCATTTAGTAACCTCTGATGTTTTTCTTGTTCACATGGCCCAGATCGCACATCCAGGAAAGCTGGAACTCAAGCTGAATTGCTCCCTGAAGGAACTGGTGCCCACGGCAGGTTACATGAGTTTGGGGCCTGCACTGAGGATGGAGAGGGGAGGGACACAACGTGAACTGAAGAATTTCTGTGACTGAGGTCTGAATACCACCAGCCTCCCAGGAAGGAAGCAGTCACAAGTTCAGTGCACTCTGACCTTAGGCCAGCCAGTATGGTGAACTGGGTCCCAAAAGGAAATTGCTTTCTTCCCAGAAGTCAACCACCTAGAGCAATTCTGGAAGGATTTTATGTATGGACAGGTGAGCTAGGTTAAACTTTGTACAGATAGATAATGGAATCACTATGGAAACCAAAAGACCAGTTAAAGACTGACAGGACTCACGAATAGCCTTATAACAGGATCATATAACAGTGCTAGTGCTGATAAAGTAGCAAATGCTTTTATGTTTTGCTTTTTGTTAGAAGCTTGGCAACAGGGCAAGGAAATTCCCACATTCATACGCTGCTGGTGGAAGCATAGTGCAACCTTTCTGAAGGGCAACTTGGCAGTATGGATTAACATTCTGTCCTCTGACCAGGTAATCCCACTTAGAGAAATTTATCATAGGAGACATTCAGAAATTTTCTCAAAAGTTTTTCACTTAAGCTTGAGTTTTTCTGGTTATTGTCCAAACAATCAACATAAATGAAGTAGTCAAATATATTTGTTTACCTAATAGTGGAGTACTATATAGTCATCAAAAACTGTTTTCAAAGATGTTTTTACTATTTTTTTTTAACTTTTTTCAAAGATTTTTAACTTTTAAAATTCTCACAAAATAAGTGAAAATACAGGAAACATAACTTCATATAAGATTAATTTGTAAACTATAAATAGATATATAGACAGATACACACACACACAACTGAATGAAACTAACCAGATTTCTAACAGTAGTTATATCTGAGTGATGAAGTATCAGAATTTTTATTTCTTTGCCATCTTTCAAGTTAACTGCAGTGAACACACTAAAAAATTAAGCATTTTCCCTTTTTTTTAAGAGAATTCCTTTCTCAAACTTGCTTTTTCACTGACTGTTTAAAGCTGTTTTGCTGAGCAAAGATGAGTAGAAAAAAACTAAACAAAAGCTGACATTCTTTCAACTCTTTAACACCTCCCCCTTACTACTAGTGGTTTATACAAGATGTAATCTAATTCACTTCAATTGTCAGGAAAAGACGCAAGAAGTAGAAGAGAAAGAGTCTGTGGGAAAATGGAAATAGGAAGGTGGTGCTAGCAGTAGCCAGGGGCGAGAAGTCTCGTCAAAACGAGTGAGGAGCCCGGCCCTGCAACCAGAGACAAAAACGAGAGCAACACCAGTTCTATGCGCTTCCCTTGATTCTAGTCACAGACTTTTAATGATAATCCTACCAAATTTAATTAAGAAGCCAGAGGAAATAACTGAAGTCACAGAGGGCCACAATGTGTGGTTGTGTAGTGTGTGTCCTGGATGGGGTGACCTGGCTGAGGGGGAGCAGAAGGCGCATTCCAGGTCGCACACCCTCAACTCTGCCCCCTTGGAGGAGGAGGATCCCTTACTAATTTGAACAAAATTTGGATGGAAGGTGAGGAACTAGAGACAGGGAAGAAAAATGTCTGCCTAGAGGGCTGAGGGTAAGGGAGCAATAGAGTGATGGCTGCAGGGGGATCTAAAAGGTTTTAGTTTTTCAAGACAGGAGCTACTTGAGCATCTTGGAATACTGATAGGAAAAACCCAGTAGGTACTGAAGGTATAAGACAGAATGGGGTCCAGAGGGTGGTTTAGAAGAATT